TTCATGCTGTAGGTAAGAAACCTATCAGCAATTCCTGACGGGCAATGGCAAGCGGCGGACGAATGGTGGAGATGGGAATGGATACCGCTCACGCAGTTATGCAGTACAGTAAGTTTAAGAAAAATCATGTATATGTATATATGATTTAAAGGTTTCAAGCATGTATGTTTAAAAAGGTACATATGTTATGTATGTTAAGGAAACCGAGGTTGTAGCTAACAACCCTCGTTTTGAGTATTTAAGTTTTAGAACGTTGCAACAGAGCATGCAACAAATAAATAAATTTTAAACATGACGATTTAAATGATTGATTTTAAAAGGGCTTTAAGATGTACTTGAATTTAAGATTTCTCACGAAATCCGTTTTAAAGTCAAAATTAAATGGCCCGATTGAATTGGCTAGTTTTAGAAAGGCTTTTAAAGAGCATTTGAAATAAGAGTTCAAATGTTGCTCTGTTTGAATTTTTAGAACTGCTCTGTTTGAAAGATATTTTTAGAACGTTTTATCTTAACTGAAATTAAGAAAAGCTTTAAGAAATTTAGTGATTCACTTATTTGAAATTATTGTTACAAATTATGAAAGTATTCTTTCTTATATTAAAAAAAAAATGTTCCGCAAATTTTAAGAAACCCCAGTAAGTATAAGTTAAAGTTTAAGTTACAGTGACGGCCTCATAGGAGGGTCGCCACACAGTATTCCATCCTTTTTTTTTTTATTTGGCTTCGCTCTTTCAAAAAGTGGGGATGATTAGCTAGTCTGTTCACACAAATGGGATCATAAACTATTGAACAAAACCAAGAAAACATTAATGGTCAAAATTCTAAAAGTTATTTTCCAAGATTCTCGTTGTCGCATAAAGCTATCCAGCTATTTTCACCCATTAATTAATATGAATTAACTTGGTCATTTCCAAGTTACTAAAAAATATGTCTTTGCCTATGATCATGTTAGGAATTCAGATTCAGTATGAGTATCAATGGAGTATTACTTTAATCTTTTATCCTCCAATAAAAAAATCTTACTGTGAAATTTGAGAACATTTATGGTAGAGAAAACAATTATGTCTGACGATAAAAATTGTATTTTAATTATTAAATTAGTTTTTTAATGATTTAATTTATAGTAGAAATAATTTTGAGCTTTATAGATATACACAGATCTAGCCATAAAAAAACTAATATAATAGTTGAAATAACAATTCTTATTAATAGAGTAAAATTTAAATCCGTAAAATAAATTAAACTTATTTTAGAAAAATTACAGAATATATATCATTTTTGTTAAATTACATTATTATACTGACCATGACAACTAACAATTATTGAAGGCGTATACTGTGCAAGCATTCATCTCTGGTGGAGTACTCTAGATAAGTGGACCCTCCTTGCAAGTTCTTGGAACCACATATTATTGCCTTCACCGAACGTGTAAATTGGGGTAGGAAAAGAGGGAGAAAGATAGGTGAGGAAAAACAGAGATATTTTCTTTGAACAAAAGTCCTTGCGAAAGTTTTTGTTATTCTCCACAAAGAACAGCAATCTGATTTCAGATCCTTTGGAAGAAGAGAAAACTTTCATCATTCAAAGGAGCTATAGTTATGTGTTTTAATTCCGATCAGCAATCTGATTTCAGATCAGCAATCTGATTTCAGATCAGCAATCTGATTTCAGATCCTTTGGAGAAGCACAAAGATTGTTTACAACTAGCATTAAAATCTTCTCTTAATTCTCCAAAGGTATATCTCTTTCTTTCTCTCCTCATACTTTATAGTTATGTGACTTAATTTCGCAAATAATTTGTTAATCTTTTTCTTTTTAATAATGAAAATATTGGTTTCATCACGTTGGTGAAATATTGGATATTGACAGTGATTTAAATTAAAACTTTTTCAATTATAATTCCAGTCTGACAATTTTTTACCTCTATTTATCAATGTGCATCACTCTTTTTGAAAAAAGAAATTAAATAAACTAAGCTTCTTCTAATAAAGTTAAATTAATGTTGAAAGTGAGTCCAAAAACTTGTGAAGTTATATGGAGGAGATAATTGATTTTTGGTTTAATTGAGATTTTAATAAGGGTATTATATATATATAGATTGGCCAAGTTTCTAGTCTGGTATCAGAGCGATATCTGTATATTTTTATTAAAATATGTATATTTTCTCTTTAAAACATGCATATTTCTTTTTAAAACATGTATATATTGTATATTTTATCATAAAAAGAAGCGTACATGTTTTAAGTGAAATATATATGTTTTTAAAGAGAAAATATACATATTTTAAAAAGGAAATAAATAAGTGCGCTCTAATTTAATACCGGATACAATTGCTATATATATTATGCTAGATGTTACCAGTAATATTTTTTTTGAAAAAAAAAAAAACAGATTTGTAATAAAAAGGTATTATTTAAGGGGGTGGGCGGAGACGTGGTTCCAAAAAAAAAACAAAAAAAAAAAAAAAGGGGTCAACAAACGACTGCCCGCAAAACATATATGTATTGCAACTCCTAAACGTCTAGCATTTTTTATTCTTCCTTTCACATGCTGATATATGTCTAGGAAAATATTTGATATAGTAATATTTGTAAAGAATCTTTTCTTCATTGTAATGTTTTCGACTTTTTTTATATTTATTTTTAATTTTTAAACCCTCTATTGAATAATAAAAGACAAGTGTAAAAATATGGCCAAATTAACATGGTTGAAGAACATAAATAGTTGGAGTTTATATTATTTACTTTAATTTTTTGGTTAATTTATTTTTCTTATTTCAAGTCTTGTTCATTTCACTGATTTTGAGTTTAGAATTCAAATTTTGCTACAGTAAAAAGTTCTTAAAAACAGTCACATCTAACTTTTTTATAACAGTAAAAAGCTATCGCATAAAATCACATTCGAACTCAAATTAAAAATTTGAATCAGCGAACTAAACGAAGCCTGATCATTGTCGTTTCATTTAAAGTAGTCGTTTTTAAGCCCTGTCTGCCTCTACCCGCTAATTTGAATCCTCAAAATTTAATGATATTATACAAACAATTGTACGAAATTTTATTTGTTTTATGCGTCGATAGAGTTCTTTTTTCAAACGTTAAGGAAACTCATCAACATTTTGAAGAGCACTATTATGCAAATATCTTAGATAATAACAACCTCACATTGGCAAATGAATAAAATCAAAGAGTTAATATTAAACGAAGAATATTTTATATAATCTTCAACCACTCCATCATAAAAAATTAAAAAGATAATAATAAAAAGTATCACTAGAAAAGTGGGAAAAATAGGAAAGATTGGAGTGATTCTTTTTGTTTCTTTTGATAGCTAGTAACTGTTTTTAATTAAGCTCATAATGTTTTTAATCTCTCTGACAGTTCTCTCTTTTCAGCCCTTATATATGTCTGTTCTGTATACTTTTTTAATCTAATGTGATTTTAATATGATTGAACGATAAAAAAATTGATACTAACTGTAAGATTGACCTACTAAAGAACCTCCCAACTTTATTGAACATTTTGGCTTTCGTATTTCAAAAAGATGGAGATGACTTATCGGTTCTTTCTTTCTCACCTCGTACTTTTATAGTTATGTGATTTAATTCCGCGAATAATTTGTTATTCTTTTTCTTTTCAATAATGAAAATATTGGTTTCATCACGTTGGTGAAATATTGGATATTGACCGTGATTTAAATCAAAAGTTATCAATTTACATCGCTTTTTTTTTTTAAAAAGTAATTAAATAAACTAATAAGCTTCTTTTAATAAAGTTAATTTTAATGTTTAAAGAGAGACCAAAAACTTGTCAAGTCATATGCAGGAGATAATTGATTTTTGGTTTAATTGAGATTTTAAGTTTGATATAAGGATGTAATTAAAAGACAAAACTTAGGGTATAATTGATATTTTTTTTGAAAAAAAAAAATATTATGGTAGATGCTACTAATATATATACTTGTTTTTTGGAAAAAAAAGATTTGTAAAAAAAAAAAAGATATTTGATATAGTAATCTTTGTAGAATAATCTTTTTTTCTTAATTCCGTTGTAATGTTTTCGGCTTTTTTTATTTTTATTTTTTATTTTTAAACCCTCTCTTGAATAATAAAAGACAAATATGTAAAAATATGGCCAAATTAACATGGTTGAAGAATAGAAATAGTTGGAGTTTATATTATTTGCTTTAATTTTTTGGTCAATTTATTTTTCTTATTTCAATGTCGTATCATTTGAAGTACTCGTTAATTTGTAGTCGTTTTTAAGCTCTGCCCTGTCCTCTACCCACTCATTTGAATCCTTGAAATTTAATGATATTGTACAAGCAATTGTACGAAATTTTATTTGTGTTTTATACGTCGATAGAGCTATTTTTTCAAACGTAAGGAAACTCATCAACATTTTGAAAAGCATTATTATGCAAATATCTTAGATAATAATAACCTCACATAGGCAAATGAATAAAATCAATATTAAAGTACTCTTAACAGCTTACGCTTTTGGCATGAATTGCTAAACTAACATGGTATCAGAGTAGGAGGTTTTGGGTTCAAACTCCCGTAATTGCACACTATATCTCTATTTAAAATTGTTATCATGTGTTGGGTCTTTAATAAATCACGGGCTTAAATATTCACGTATTGGCTTAAGCTTTTGAGATTTTATATAATCTTAAACGACTCCATCATAAAAAATTAAAAAAATAATAATAAAAAGTATCACTAGAAAAGTAGGAAAAATAGGAAAGATTGGAGTGATTATTTTTGTTTCTTTCGATTGCTAGTAACTGATTTTAAGCTCATAATTATACTCTAGAATGCTTACTGCTTGCCATCATTTCCATCTTATTTCAGTTGTTTTTAAGGAAGAGAAACCATGGCTGAACTCGTGGGAAGTGCTCTTCTCTCCGGCTTCTTTAATGTCTTGCTTGATAGGATGGCTACTCAAGAGGTCCTTAACTTCTTCCGAGGAAAGAAAGTCCTTGCTAAGCTTCTTGATGAGTTAAATATCAGGTTGTTGTCTGCTAATAAGCTGATGAATGATGCTGAGTTGAAACAACTCACAGATGAAAACGTGAAGAAGTGGGTTGATGAGCTTAAACAAGTGCTTTATGAGGCAGACCACGTCATGGACAAAGTCAACACCGAAGCTCTTCGGCGCAGGATTGAAGAAGGTGACCAATCTGGAAGCATAGCATGTTCGTTCTTCAGCTTCATACCAAAGATTGGATACAGTGCATTTGAAATCCGTGTGAAATCTGAAGTAAAGGAGATCCTTCAAAGATTGGATCTTCTTTTGAGGCAAGACCTTGGTCTGAAAGAAGTTTTTCACCAAAACAGACCACAAAGACTGCCTTCTCCTTTGATGGATGCCTGTGATGTCTATGGAAGAGATGGTGAGAAAGAGGACATCATTGAAATGTTGTTATTAAATCATAATGGCGGGCGTAAGATATCTGTGATTCCTATAGTGGGCATGGGTGGTATGGGCAAAACCACACTTGCTCAGCTTGTTTACAATGATAGCAGAGTCCAAGATCATTTTGCCTTGAAGGTGTGGGTAACTGTATCAGAGGATTTTGATGTTTTTAAACTTACACGAATAATTATTGAGGCGATCACTTCGCAGACATGTGATATCCAGGACCTATATCCACTTCAAAATGCACTGAAAACTCAATTGATGGGGAAAAGATTTCTTTTTGTTCATGATGATGTTTGGAACGAAAATTACGAACTTTGGGATGCTTTAAGGAGCCCTTTCAACTCTGGAGCTGACGGGAGTAAGATTATTGTGACCACCCGCAGTGAAATTGTTGCATCAATGATGGGTACTGTTCCAGGATATTCTCTACAGATGATATCAGAAGACGATTGCTGGAAGTTGTTTGCTAACCATGTCTTTGAAAATAGAGGCTCTCAGATAGATCCGAATTTGCAAGAAATGGGTAAAGAAATTGTTAAAAAGTGCAAGCGTCTTCCTTTGGCAATAAAATCAATTGCTGGTCTTCTACGCTCGTTATCAAGTCTGGAGGAGTGGAAAGGGATACTAGAAAGTGACGTGTGGGAGTTGCAATTTCAAGAAAACCAGAAGAATAATATTCTTCCGGCATTATGGCTGAGTTACAAGTGGTTATCTCCACAGCTAAAGCGATGCTTTGCTTATTGCTCAATATTCCCCAAAGATTACGAGTTTGGCGAAGATGACAGAGAAACTGTGGTACTGTTGTGGATGGCAGAAGGACTTTTACAACCCAAAAGTGGAAGAAGACTAGAAGATGTTGGAAAAGAGTACCTAGATACTCTAATAGCAAGGTCATTCTTTCAACGATCAAGTAGCCAGTTTCGACAACCAACTCTGCTTATGCATGGTCTTGTGCATGATTTAGCTACGCGCATATCTGGTGAGTCTTGTTTAATGCTGGATGATTGCCCTGACTTGAATGGCCTTACAAGCAACACTTGTCATTTGTCATTTAGAAAAGAATCTAATGTCGTGATGAAATTAGAGGCTTTATCCAAAACTAAGTGTTTGAGGACCCTGCTAGCTTTACCATTGTCAGATGACCCCGTGTTTTTGGGACTTTTTTTATATACTGTCCCGCTTGAACTGCTACTAGGAGCTGGAGGACGCTTAAGAGCTCTCTCTTTATCTGAATCTGCTATTACAAAATTGCCAGATTCAATCGGTAATATGAAACATTTAAGGTATTTGGACTTATCTAGTACAAAAGTCAAAGACATTCCCAGTTCAATTTGTACTCTGTATAACTTGCAAACACTGTTGTTGTCACGTTGTAAAGAAATTACACAATTGCCAACTAGCATGTGTTGGTTAATCAACCTTCGTCATCTCGTGATCAAAGGAACGCCATTAAAAGAGATGCCGCCAGAGATGTGCAAGTTGAAAAATCTACAGACGTTAAGTGATTTTGTCTTGGGTGAAAATGGTGGTTCTCGGATAAAAGAGCTTGGAGAACTAGAGTCTTTGTGTGGAAGTCTTTGTATTTTAGGCCTTGAAAACGTGGTGGATGTTGGGGACGTGATACAGGCTCATTTGAAGAACAAAGAGCAGCTTACTGAGCTTATTTTAGAATGGAAGTATGGAGAGATTGATGATTCAACAAAAGAACGACATGTACTTGTTGCGTTGAAACCACATGGAAAGCTGAAGAAACTCAAAATCAATGGTTACAGGGGTACAAAATTCCCAGATTGGGTAGCACATAAATCGTTTAGTGACTTGGTTGAAGTGTCTCTGTTTGGTTGTAAACGTTGTTGCTTGTTGCCCTCATTTGGGCAACTACCTTCCCTCAGAGAGCTTGAGATTGAGTGTATGAATGGGTTGGAAAGTATAGGGGATGAATTTTATGGTACTTCCTTGACCAAGCCCTTTCCATCCTTAGAAAGCTTAAGAATCAGTCACATGGATTTGTTGGAGAATTGGTCATTTGCTGGAGTTGAGCAAGGAGTAGAACTTTTCCCTCATCTCAAAAATATATATTTAAGATCCTGTAAGAAACTAAAAGTTGGACTACCCGCTGGTTGTTTTCCATCCTTGGAAAGGATTGAAATTTATACATGTGTAGAAATGGTGAGTGTATTTCCAACAATAAGTCAAGTAGAGATTGATTCTGCATATCCCTCTCTTAAACTTGTAAGTTTAGGGTTTTGTCGAAGATTAGTGTCATTTTCAGGAATGGGCTTGCCCTCTAATTTAAAGGCACTTGAAATCAATAGGTGCCCAATGCTCTTTGCAGACCGTATGAATTGGGATTTGCAAAGACTCTCCTCTCTTCAAACATTAACGCTCTCATTTGAAGGAGCGGCGGATTCATTTCCAGAGGAAGGGCTGCTTCCATCCACTTTGACTTTTCTCTGGATAATTGGATTTGAAAAACTTAAAGCCCTAAACGGAAAAGGCTTTCAGCAACTCACCTCCCTTCAACGATTGAATATTGGTGATTGCAAAGAATTAAAGAGCTTGCCAGAAGAAGGGCTTCCCCTTTCTCTTACTTATTTAGACATCAGGGGCTGTCCTCTGTTAAACGAGCGGTGCCAGAGAGGAACAGGGGAGGATTGGCCCAAGATTCAACGCATCCCCAACATAAGAATCAATTTCGAAAAAGTATGAGAAAGCATTACGCATTTCTGTCCTTCCCCATCCTCATTGTGCTCCAATCTTCTATTCAGGTATTATAAATATGAATTTCGTTCTATTTTAGTTAATAACAATTGATAAATTTGTTTCTGTTTCTTCTATATATATTTCCCAATTACTTTAGCGTTATGACACTTGTTTTTTTTTTTTTGCTTTGCTTTTCATATTTGTGTGTGAATTTTCTTAGAGTTAGTTTGCAGAGGTTAATTGTAATTTTCGTGGCAAAATATTATGCTGTTATGTTCCTATATGGTTCATTAGTTTGTTATTATCGCTGAGTATTATCCCATTTTTTAATAAATTATCAACAAGCAGACTTTATGTGCGTGATGTTGTGTCTATAACTTGATTCGGGCCACTGAAATCTTCTGTTTAATATATTTGTTCTGAATTTGAAATGCAGGAAGAGCAAAACATGAGGAAGAAATAGTTAGTTTACATCTGCTGTGGTATTTTTTTTCCTTTTAAATTATATTAGGAAAAATTTTATCTTTCTATTGTGAATTTTGTTCCATTTTACTTAATAATAATTGATTAATTTCCTCTTACATTTGTTGGTACTCGGATCTTCTATTTTTGGTATATTTTACTAGTAGCGTTTATGATGAAATTTTGATTTGAACTGAATTGCTGTCCATTATGTTGCTCCGTTCAATATTAGCTTTTGTAAAGTTAGATTTTTGCTTGTATTAAGATAAGGTTTCATCGGTGTCCTTTGTGGTGTCCTGCAAATCTATGTCATCTTTGGATTTAGAAATTGTCAATAATTTGTTATAAATTTAGTGTCTTGTCCAAGATTGGAGTCATTTTAAAGGATGAGATTGCCCTCTACTTTAAAGAAACTTAAGATTGAAAGCAGCCTAATGGTCATTGCAGACCGTATGAATTGGGATCTGCAAAGACTCATCTCTTCAAGAATTTCGTATTAGGGATTGCAATGTTTAGACTTCTTGCCAGAAGAAGGACTTCCCCTTTCTCTTACTCATTTAAGCATTAGGAACTTGACAAAGAAATGTTTAGTTTTCCTCTTCTGTGGCAATTATTATTATTATTATTTTTTTTGCCCTTTTTCCTTTTTAGATCTTGCATCGGTATTCTTCCATTCTTTTTTTTCTTTTTTTTTTCCGAATGAATCTTCCATTCTTCTTTCTTTCTTTAACTTGCTGCAATTTGGTTTATAAACTGTACATCTTTCCACTGCAGGTATTGTTAGCCGGAGAACTCAACGTTGAATGAATATGATAAAGCATACTAAGTCGTTTCTCCCCCCTCCCCATCCTCAGCATCATTCAAATTTCTCTTCAGGTATTTTTCTATTATACTTCTAATTTTTGCTCATTTTAGTTAATAACAACTGGTTCCCAAATTAATTTGTTCTTCGATTTGTTGGTCCTCGGATCTTCTATTTCTAGTAGTTACGTCCTCTTACTCCATTGACCAACAAATCCCGAGAATAGTAATCGACTATAATGAAATCTGATGAAAAGCATCCTGAATCTGTAGGAATTTGCAAGTATTAACGGCTGTCCGTTCAAATCCAAAAAATCTTCTGTGAGGTGAGATGTTTTCATTGTATCAAGATAAGGCCCTCAATCATGTGCATTTCTATATTGTCCTTAGATTTATGATTGTGATACATTCATATTATGTTATTAAAGATAACCATTTTCTCAGAGAAAAGATAAAAAGTAGTTTCAAATTCATAAAATTTTGCTTTATAAAGGTCTATAACTCATCCAGGATCTCGTGAATGGCATTGAAACTTTGAAAGGAACTAGCTTTTAAGTTGTCTTTTCTTTATTGTTTTGTTATAAACAATCTAATATAAGAAGAATACAGGAATTCATGACCTTAATTAGAACAAACTGATGAATGTGTTTCATGTCTACAGACGTACCAGAATCAGCCACACGCAAGGCTTCGAAAGGAAGGCATACTTACGTTTCTTCTTTCTTTTTTAATTTTCAAACAATATTCAAAAGGTCAGAATTTTATTTGTGTAATTCTTTTTTTTTTTTTTTTAATTTTTGCTTAAGCTCTCAATCTTACCACGTTACTGTTTTTTGTTTTGTTTTGTTTTTGTTTTTTGTTTTTTGTTTTTTGTTTTGTTTTTTGTTTTTTGTTTTTTGTTTTTGTTTTTTGTTTTTTTTTTTTTTTGTGCTTAAGCAGGACACTTTCTAGGAGGTGCAGCATCATGCCTTTTTCAAGTTGCCATCGAAATTTACTGATACTTTCGAGAAGCTAAGTATCTAGGAAAGAGTTATCAATTGTTCAAAAAGGAAGGTGATGAAGTTGATACAGCTGAACAATTCTTGCTTCTATGGATCGGTACACATTTTCTTTTAAAATAATGCTAATTTCCTTAGAGGACCCTTTGTTTTGGTGTTCAAACTCAAAACTTCATATAAAATGTGCATCTTTCTGCAGGCTGCGCTATTGGTGATTTGGCAGGCTCCATTGCCGTATTTTCTTGCTCTTGATCTTTAGGCGTTAGAGTTAATGTCGCTGATGTGCCACATTATTTTCATCTCAAATGCCGATTTCTCAGAATTTAAGTCCATGTCTATAATGTAATTATCGAGCGTTTATTGTATCTGTTTGATCATTGGTGTAATTCACTGGTTAGCTCAATGGGTTTTAGTCTATACGACTTGAGGGCTTTCAGAGAGGTTTTCTGAGAGGGATTTTTTCAATTTCAATTGGGGGCTTTTACGATGTTCAATACTTTTCTTTCAAGAGTATCCAGAGAGAAACTTACGTGGATGCATGTTACTGTACGTTCAATTATCTGTCATCAAGTATTATTAGGTTATATTGTGATGGTAAATTGCACTACTTTACTATGTATTTAACAAATTTTGAATTAATTAAGACTAATGATGTAATGACTGAGAAAATTCCAGACTTTAAATAATACAATTTATTTATTTAAGCCAAGGATTTTCCTAGAAAATATTATGTGACTGAAGGATTTATGGAATCAATAGATGTATTCCTAAATTCTGTAGCAGATTTCATGTTAAGTTCATGTTTTCGATCAAGTAAATTCAATCGATAAATTCTTGCCGTACTTTAAGGCGGAATAATTTTCAGTACAAGTATAGTTTGAGAATCTTAATTTCAAGAATCTCCAAACACAGCATGATGTTAGCAGCGTAAAAAAAAAAACGCACTGACATTTTTAAAAAAAGAGAAAATCCTTAATTGCCAGACAGCTAGGTTAAAGTCAGAAGATAAATACCCATAGTAGAAGGGTATAATGTGAACTCGGGAGTTGACACCGTCAGAAACAACGTCATTTCTGAAAATTAACGCAGGATAGTTAAATTTAGAATTTGTTCAGTCTAGAATTAATTTCAAGACTGTAAACAGTTCAAGATATTACGCGAATAAGAATTTAATGTGATATCCAAAGCAGTCAAGGATTTAACATTTAACTGTAAATAAGCAGTAGAAAAAGGAACCGTCAGGAATGGGAACGAATTCCTGTTAGCTAAGTTACTCTCTTATAGTCAGTATAATTTTTATCAGTTTCTAAGGGAAACTTAAGAAAGTAGACAAGAGTACAATGGGGTAGGTGAGATTTTTTTCTCTCCCTTCCTCCACTTGGCCGGCCATGCATGAAAAAAATAGAGCCAAACATTTGGCTAGTGGAGTGTGCTAGAGGACTTTATGTTAAGGTGATGTGATGTTAGTGGTTGAAGGGGAATTAATGGCAAGTTGCTTCTTCTTTTCTCTTTCCAAAACCGGCCAAGAAAGGGGGATTTGAACCAAAAATTTGGTTGAATGATGGAGTGGAATTGGTGTTAAAAAAAATAATTTCCAAGTGCCTATAAAAGGAACCAACATAGGATAAGCTTCATTTTTTTTCTCCTAGCTTTTTCCCCACTCAAAAAATCCGGCCACACACTCTCCATTTCCTCTCAAATATTTTCTCCCACTCTCCAAAACTTGAGCCCCTAGCACACCATAGAAGAAGAAGAAGGAGATTAAGGGATTCTAGGAGGAGACTAGTCAAGCATTCCTCTAAGGGTAA